AGAGGCCGTTCCAAGAGTCAGAATAAAGGAAGCAGAGGGAGATCAAAGTCAAAGTCCAGATTGAGCAAAGATGAATGTGCCTTTTGTCGAGAAAAAGGGCACTGGAAGAAAGAATGTCCCAGGCTAAAGAATAAAGGCAAACCTGAAAGGGGGAAGGCTGTCTCAGAATCAAATGTGGTCGAGTATGATGATGGAGATTCAGATTTCGCATTCGTTGCTACGCCATCAACCAGCTGTTTCAGTTCATGGTTGTTAGATTCAGCTTGTAGCCACCATATGACCCCCAATAGATAATGGTTCTTTGATTTTAAAGAACTAAAAGGTGGAATTGTCTACACAGCAAATAATTCCCCTATTGACACACTTGGGATTGGTTCAATTCGCTTGAGGAATCAGGATGGATCAATCAGAACCTTAACAGGTGTCCATTATGTACCAGATTTAATGAGAAATCTCATCTCTGTGGGAACCTTAGAGTCAAAAGGTTTAGAAGTGAGGGCAAAAGATGGGATTATGAGGATTATCTCTGGTGCACTGGTGATAATGAAGGGAATCCGAAAAAGAAACAATGTGTATTACTTTCTGGGTAGTACAATTGTTGGGACAACAACAGTGGCAGCTTCTACTTATGAACAGGAGTCAGAAGCAACCAGGTTATGGCATATGCGCTTGGGGCATGTTGGTGAAAAATCCTTGAAATTACTGATAGATCAAGGATTATTGAAGGCTGCTCGGGCTTGCAAATTAGCTTTTTGTGAGCATTGCATCAAAGGAAAGAAGATGAGGGTGAAATTTGGAACATCAATCCATGATACTAAAGGTATTTTGGATTATGTTCATTCAGATGTATGGGGGCCTTCCAAGACAACTTCATTAGGAGGAACACACTATTATGTCACATTTGTTGATGATTTTTCCCGGAGAGTTTGGGTGTATCCAATGAAGACAAAGGATGAGGTGCTAGGATTTTTCCTTAAATGGAAAAAGATGATGGAGACTCAAACAGGCAGAAAAATCAAACATCTCCGTACAGACAATGGTGGAGAGTACAAAAATGATCAATTTCTGAAAGTCTGTGAAGAGGAAGGTATTGTTAGGCACTTCACTGTCAGAGGTACACCACAACAGAATGGGGTGGCAGAGCGTATGAACCGGACATTAGTGGAGAAGGTTCGGTGTATGTTGTCTAATGCTGGGTTAGGCAAAGAATTTTGGGCTGAGGCTTTGGTCTATGCTTGTCACCTTGTCAACCGGTTACCATCGACTGCTATTGGTGGTAAAACACCATTAGAGAAATGGTTTGGAGTACCTGCTACAGATTATGATTCCTTACATGTGTTTGGTTCCACTGCATACTACAATGTTAAGGAGTCAAAGTTGGATCCAAGAGCAAAGAAGACGATCTTTATGGGGATCACCTCTGGTGTGAAAGGCTATCGTCTTTAGTGTCCAGAAACAAAGAAAATAATCTTCAGTAGGGATGTTACCTTTGATGAATCTACCATGTTGAGAAAGGTGACTTCAGAAAAATTGGAGCAGACAGATGGAACTCCCAAACAGGTGGAGTTTGAAGGAAGCAAATTTGTCCCAACCAATAAAGAAACTGATGTTGATTCTCCTATGGTAGAAGAAGAGTCAGATGAACAAGAGGTTCAGACCCAAGAACCTCCACAGCAATATGAATCAATTGCACTCAGAAAGGGAAAGAGGACCATTAGACAACCTGCTCGTTATGCTGATATGGTCTCTTTTGCATCACCAATTGCAATTGATGACGTTCCTGCCACTTTTAATGAAGCAGTTCAAAGTTCAGAACATAAAAAGTGGAGGATCGCCATGAATGAAGAAATGCAATCCCTTCAAAAGAATCAGACGTGGAAACTAGCTAGTCTTCCGAAGGGAAAGAAGGCAATTGGGTGCAAGTGGGTATATGCAAAGAAAGATGGATTTCCTGACAAGAATAACATCCGCTACAAAGCAAGATTGGTGGCTAAAGGCTACGCTCAAACGGAGGGAGTTGATTATAATGAAGTATTTTCTCCAGTTGTAAAACATTCCTCCATCAGAATTTTGTTGGCTTTGGTAGCGCAGTTGGATTTGGAACTAGTTCAGATGGATGTAAAAACTGCATTTTTACATGGAGACTTGGATGAGGAAATCTACATGACTCAGCCAGATGGATTCAAAGTTGCTGAAAAACAAGAGATGGTGTGCAAATTAGAAAAATCGCTGTACGGATTGAAGCAATCTCCAAGGCACTGGTACAAGCGATTTGACAAGTTTATGATAGGGCAGAAGTACACAAGAAGCAAATATGATCATTGTGTGTATTTACGCGAGCTAGAAGACGGATCCTATATATATCTTCTTCTTTATGTTGATGATATGCTGATAGCTTCCAGGAGTCAGACAAAAATTGCGAAACTAAAGACTCAATTGAACAGGGAGTTTGAGATGAAGGATCTTGGTGAAGCGAAGAAGATTCTAGGCATGGAGATATCAAGGGATAATAAATTGGGGAGGCTTTGTTTGTCTCAGAAAGAATATCTGAGGAAGGTACTAAAACGTTTTGGCATAAATGAGATGTCAAAACCAGTTAGTACACCTCTTGCTCCTCATTTCAAGCTCGGTGCATCCATGTCACCTAAGGATGATGCAGAACGGGAATACATGTCAAAGGTTCCGTATGCAAGTGATGTTGGTAGCTTGATGTATGCAATGGTGTGTACGAGACCCAATATTTCACATGCAATTGGGGTTGTGAGCAGTTATATGCATGATCCTGGAAAGGAGCATTGGCAAGCTGTGAAATGGATTTTGCGGTATATTCTGAACACCGTAGATGTTGGTTTGGTCTTTCAGCATGACAAACAAGATGGTCAGTGTGTGGTTGGGTATTGTGATTCAGACTATGCAGGTGATTTGGACAAGCGTCGATCAACTACTGGTTATGTGTTTACATTTGCAAAGGCACCAGTCAGTTGGAAGTCCACCTTACAGTCAACAGTGGCTTTGTCTACTACAGAGGCAGAGTATATGACAGTTACAGAGGCTGTGAAGGAGGCAATTTGGCTTCAAGGGTTGCTTGGTGAATTGGGAATGGAACAAAAGCACATCAAAGTGCACTGTGACAGTCAGAGTGCTATTCATTTAGCAAAGAACCAGGTTTACCATGCAAGGACGAAGCACATCGATATTCGATATCACTTTGTACGAGAGATTCTAGAAGAAGGTGGAGTCATAATCCAGAAGATTCGGACCACTGAGAATCCTGCTGATATGTTGACAAAAGTGGTAACTGCGGTCAAGTTTAAACATTGTTTAGACTTGGTCAATATTGTTACAAATTAAAAGATTGTTTTTTTTAGAGATATGTGTGGAATTTTCCAAGGTGGAGATTTGTTGGTTTTTGACAAAAGTCCCACATTGGTTGTGTATAAGGAGGAGGGGAAATTCTTTTGTTATAAAGCCCTCCTCCTCCTTAGTTAATCATCCTACAAATATAAGCCTTCTTCTATTTTAAAGGCTATTTGTATTCTTTCTCTCTTTGTAATATTTCCTCTATTAGTGAAATATTTTGGTGTTCTCTTTTATGTCTATTTAATAGCTATTGTCGGGTATAGTTGTTGTTAATTATTGTCCTATTAAAATTACTTGTCTTGGTAGTTCTCTCTAAGGAAAGTGGGTTTTAAGAGGGACCATTGTGACCCCTCCTCTTTCTTGGGAATCTACCTTGGGGTGATTTTTAGTACAATCATTTTCACACTAGTCACCTAGATAATAGTTTGGAAGGTGAATTGTTATTGGTGGAAATTAACCCAAATATCACAACACCCTCCGCTGAATTTATAGTTTCCCACACTTCATCGAACGAGAAGGGCATTTCTAAAGCATTGTTCGAATCTCTACTCAAGCACCTTAGGTCTACCTCAAACTCCTTTACTGGTAACGCAACATGGTCATTGTAAAACTTACAGGAATGCTCTTAAAAAACTAATGATATCTGCTTGGGCTCTGTGAATACTTGGTTGTCCACTCGTATCTTGGAAATGTGAATGGCCCTTTGTTTCATGGTCACAATCGTGTGGAAGAACTCCGTATTTCTGTCTCATTCTTTAAACACCATTTTTGCAGCTAATCTCGCTCGTCTTTTCCGTGTTTAGCCCATAGTGATGCTTTTAGAGCAGCTAGTTCTTGCATAATGGTTGTCGAATCCTCGAATTGTGTTTAGCCCAATCCTTCGTGTTTGAAGGTTTTGCTGTTCATATTGGAACTTACTTATCGGTCTTCAAGTTTGTCGAGTCTTCGCGTGCTGCTTTGTCCGGTTTAAGTGATGAAAGTTTCAAATTTGTACTGTAGATTATTATTATTTAATTAATTAAATATTTTATTATTTATCAGTAAATAACATATTATATGAAGTGGTCAAATCGATAGAATTTTAAAATATTTAAAAATTATTAAATAATTTCTAATTATAATCAATTTGGTATAATGTATAAGTTTTAACGATTAAAACTATCTATACTATGCAATATTATCGATTTCATTAAGTTAGTAGTCAAATCTAATAGCGAGTAATCAATAAAAATAAAATGTAAACTTAGAAATATTTTTTTAAAAATAGATTACTAAAATAAGAACACGGGTAGATAGCTGAATAAGTAATCTACCATTAATTTTATTATATATATTATGTCATCCTTTAGCATCAACTAACTCCAACTAAAATCGTGATACGTATTTTATAATAAAGTTTAAGTTTTAATACTTATTTTATAATTTTTAAAAATTTATTGTCTAAAAAGATCAATATAGAATAGTTTAGTGAAATTTTTAAACTTTACCCATTAATTTATTATAATTAATTACATATACTATGTTTGTATGTAGATATATTCCATATAAAAGATAATCGTATTAACAAAGAATCTCTTATTTGAACTACCGAAGAGTAAAAAAAAAAACTTGTATTTGCATTTTTATTTATTAAATATTTAAAAAAAATTAATGATAATGAACTAAATAAATGAATTTATAATACAAAACAAATCTTTGTTGCTAAATGTATACTGCTACCTGTAAGCATGATAACCCTACTCTGTTTTACCAAGCCTCGCACCAGAAACATTGTTATCTCCCGGTGTTCGGCTCGAACCATGGCGCGGACAAGAGCCCTCAATTTCCCACACCAGGGCTTGGACCGGAGTCCTTGATGTCTCCATGGGTTCGAGTTCGACTATCAGTGAACTTGTTCCCCACACCGGGGCTCGGACCAGAATCCTTTATGCCTCCAAGGTTGATGCTAACAGTCACCCTGTTCGAACCCGAGTTCTTAATGCCGCCGAGGATCGAGCTATGTCCCTCACCAGGGCTCTGACCCGAGTTCTTAATGCCACCCAAGGTTCGACTATCGTGGAACTCGTGTCCCTCACCACCATTGCTGGGACCAGAATTCTTTATTCCCCCGAGTTCGAAAGCGTTAGTTAACTTATGTCCCACACCAGGGTTCGGACCGGAGTTCTTAATGCCACCGAGGGTCTGCTTGTGTCCCTCACCAGGACCGCTCGGACCTGAGCCTTTGATCGCACCGATATATAACCCGACATCGAATAAAGTAGGGACCTTTCCACCGACTAAGTTCGGGGACATCAAGACATTGAAAGGATCTCGACATTCAGTGACACTTATCGACACTAAAACAAGAGCAGAAACGATTAAAAAAGAGTTGACTGTGTTCATCGAATCGGGAAAAAAATAAGTAGTTTTATGTTTCATGGAGATGAGAATATGAGGGGATTATTTATAGTGAGGGGGAGATTTGACTAAGATTGTCATCGCTTGGAAAATACTTCAAATAATATACCAAAACTGAAAAGAAAACGTGGTGAAAATTATGTTATTTGGCGAGGAAACAACGGGGGAAGTTTCTGCGAAATAGAAAAATGGGGATGGAGATTGCGAGTCCAAGATGCAAACTTGAATTCGAACAAGAAAATATACGGAAGGACAGCCAAAGTGTTTGATTTATTAGAATTCCCGTGGCCGCCTGACGGCCTCACCAGTAGTCTCCGAAGGTATTTCTTTCCCATTGGCAGCCACAACACCCAGAATTCATTTCAATCCATGGTATTTACTTAGATTTTTATAAGTTCGATTCGTTTTACTTTGATTTTTTTTTATTAAAATATATTTTACCGGCTCAATTCATTTATGTTTAGTAATTGGACCAATTTTATAGCAAAAGAAAATATTATTCTTTTTAAGTTATAAACTATATCAGTGATCACCCATCTATAGCAAAAGAAAGTATTATTTTGACCATCTATAGGGAAAAGTCGACAAAATACAAACATAAGAGATCAATCATTTAATTAACCCTTTTTTTATTTGATTTTTTTAAAGATCAAAAAGTAAAGATATTGAAACCAAGTTAATAGAGGTAGGGGCGTAGGGCATGCAAAAAAGAAAAGGAAAGGTTTGAATATGCAAGGCCATGACGGCTTGGTTGCATGTGTCATGTGGAAATAAAAGCTTTGACTGCTTTTCAACACTAGGCTTCAAATGCTAACAACGTTTAAACTTTATAAAACGAAAGGTTTGAAAATGCAGAGCCTAAACCATTGGGTTTATGTTTTAAATGTTCAATTTGTGGGAACATTAATTAGAATCTTGATTAACATTTTTTGTTTTCACTCAACCATCCCTTTAAACAAAGTATACAACCCAAGATATATAATTGAGTTTATATATCTAATTGGGCAATATCTAGTTGAGTTTATATATCTAATTGGGCATAAAAGATTTTAGATATTAAATTAAATCTTAAAACAAAATTCAAGTACCAAAATATATATTTATCCATTCAGAAAATAGTCCGAGAAATTATGGAAACCCAAGCCTGTAAATTTAGGAAATTTTAGGGTTGAGCCCAGTTTTATGAAACAGATGGACCAAAACCCAGATAAATTTTCTTTTGATATTCTGCAAAATCCGCGGGAGAAAGACGATGGAAAACAACGAAGTAAACCCAATGAAGGAAAAGGACCCTTCGCATGACAAACCAAGAGCAAAGGGTTTATTCATTTCCTTTTTCTCTGCACCCACAGCCTCGCCTTTCTGGAATTTTCGTTCCATATTTTTTATCGACACCCAAGGTATTATTATTATAATTCATGGTATTTTCAGCTAAATTTCTCCTTTTTTTTTAATTTATGCATTTTGTTGGATATTTGGATGTTCTATAACTCCTCCATTTTCCTGTTTGTTGGATATCTGGATGTTTTTGTTTCGATAATGTAGATTGTTTGTCTTAAAGTATGTACGAACATAGTAAAGAATGGAACAAGAAGAAGATAAAATCATGATTCTTTTTTTCAGAGGTATTCGGAAAGCAAGGGATATAGCTTGGGGTTTTATGAAAAATTGAATGCAAATTAATATAGGAGAGTTTCATGCTTTAAATAATTGGTGAATAAAACCTAATTTTCATGAGCTATTTGTTCGTCTTTTTTTAACACGTTGGTTGATGGATTTTGAATTGGTTTCTATTCGTAGTTTTTGAACAAATGTACCGCATTTTTTTAGTTAATCTTGAGAACATTGGGTAGTCAAGCTCTGAATTAATGTTCCCATGGATGTTCATGTTTCTTGATAAGGTAGGGTTTCGACCGCTAGACTTATCTTGAAATCCAGGTCTGGTCACCGGTGTGCTTTGTTCGGTTCATTTCTATGTTGATAGTGTGTTGGTTGCAATATTCCATGAAAACTTTCTTTATGTTTATATTGCTGATTCTTTTTGTTTGGTGATTTTTTTTAATTATTTGCAATTGGTTCTGGTAGCGTTGTCTTGAACCACCGGTGACTTTGGGCAACTATGGACGGTATTGAGCAACATGAGCCAAATGATTCTGCTTCATCTCTGATAGATCAGCTTTATAAGGCGGTTCATGAACTGGAAGCTTTCAATGGTGCTTCTGAGAGTAAGGTTCATTGGACAGAAATCGAACAATATTTCTGCAATCTCAAAGTGACGTTAAAGAAGAAATCTGAAGACCTAGAAGCTAAGGAGAAGGAATATGAGGTGAAAGAAGCCAAAACTATTGCATTGATTGTTGAGAAGGAGACAATTGTTGCTACTAAGGAACAAGATTACCTAGACCATGTGCAGGAGCTGAAAAATGCTGCTGTTGCTTCCATTGCTGAGGCACGTGCGAGTTTCCAGTCAACAACTGCAGATTCTCTTGATGCTGGGGAAAATGGAGACACCAAGGTAAGCAGTTCTGTTGGTGATAGAAACTCCCCCGAAAAGGACTTTCCTCGTAAAACAAATGAAAATACTGAAAACATGGCTGCCGATGTTAAGCCACGTCCAGAGCTGACACACTTTTGTGAGCAAATGGACGCGGAAGGACTTCTGAATTTCATAACAGAGAATCAGAATTTTATTAATGAAGCTTGTCGGGAACTTCTCCTTGCACTCGAAAGTGCAAGCAGACCTACCCATTTGGTGTTCAGTTCACTGGAGGGGTTTTACCCTCCGGATGAAACAACTCCAACGGTGGATAAGATGGATGCTGCCCTTCAGGGCATGCGAAAGTCCTGTGTCCTCTTATTGGAAGCCATGGCTAGCTTTTTGGCCAGAATTGACCCCGGTGATACTCACCTTTTGAACCCCGAAATCAAGCAGCTAGCCAAGGCAATTGCTGATGAGTGGAAACCTAAGTTGTCTAATGTAGGCAGTGTTGCTGCCGATGACAATTCATTGGAAGCTGAAGCATTTTTGCAGCTCCTTGCTACTTTTAAGATTGCTTCGGAGTTTGACGAAGAACATCTCTGCAAGCTTGTTTTTGTAGTTGCTCATCTCCGGCAGGCACCTGAGCTTTGCCGTTCCATTGGATTAGCACTGAAAATGCCAGGTCGGTATGGAGGCAGGACCATTGTTTCCATACGATGAGTCTCGAGTTTATGCTAATGTATCTGTCTTGTTGATGGTTATACGACTGTTTGGTGTTGATTTGCTAAACCGAGTCTTACTTTTGCAGGTCTTTTTGAGTTACTGATTAACAGTGGTAGAAAAGTCGATGCAATACGATTTATCCATACCTTCCAGCTTTCTGAAAGGTTTCCTCCAGTGCCCCTCTTGAAGATGTTCTTGAAAGATCTGCTGAGAAACTCACAAGGGAAGGGTGGTAACTCTCGCGCTGCTTATGGTTCACAGGTAAACTGTGCTTAAACCGAATGGAGACCCATTGCTATGAATTTTCTCTACAGTAAAATACCAACGGGTGATTCATTCTTCATATACATGATGACATAAATGCACGAGAACTCGCTGCACTGGAAGCCGTAATAAGCTGCCTTCAAGACTATGGCCTAGAAGCTGACTACTCCCTTGATCCGCTCCAGAAAAGGTTGGCTCAACTTGAGAAAGCAAAAGCAGACAGTAAGAAAAGAGGGGGAGATTCCAGTAAACATCACCCGTGGAAGAAATCAAGGCCCAACGGTGGGTTTCGAGGATTTCGGGGACCTCCAGGTAGGCAAGCTCCACAGGTTTACAACCAAAGGGCTGCGTTTACAGGGAGGCCCGAAAGGTATACTCCTGCCTGTTCGAACCCCTACAGTTATCAAGTCCTGTATCAACCGGCATATGCTCCTCAAGCCAATGATCAAAGATTATACTACTATACTCAAGATGACAAAATTCCAACGCCGTTGTATAACGCAACTACATCTAACTATGGAAGCTACAGTGGCGGCGGATTGCAACCATCACAGCAGCCATATATGTAGTTTATCATAGATGCACGATTAGTTTATCAAAGAAATTTTGCTCAGTGTGGTTTATAATTTTATTATATATAAAACTACAACTTTGCATAAAACATGGAGCACGTTAAATATAAGCTTGAGTGAGTTAAGCGAAAGGCAATTCATCTTTCAATCTGTAGGGGAAGGTGGTTGGAGTTCCTTGGCCGCTTCAGGCTCAAGTACTTTCGGCTTATCGTCATTAAATGACACAGATTTGCTCGGCATGGCCTTCACGCTTCGCCTGTAAAGCCTTCTCGAAAGCTTAGAAATCACCAAGGCCGCCATTGTCACTGAAGGTACAAACACGACATCGGGGATCGACTTAATCATGCCCATATGCGGCAGAAACTCTCCAGCTCTCTTTGCCGCCATGGCCGCAGGCGGCGTCACGATTCCGGTCATGATGGTTGTGTTATCCAACTTGCTAATCTTTATCGTCCTAATAAAATCGATAAAAATCGCTTTCTTCTTCTCCGGGTCTTCTTCCATTTTCCAGTCTTCGAAACATTTCTGAATCGTTTGAATTTTATGAGAGGACGGTCATGAAAAAAAATCGAAGCAAAAAAACATAGACAGACCTCAACGTCATAGCGAGAAGGGGCATCGTAATGTTTACCGGGTAATGCTGAGTTGATAACACTACAATCAATGAAATCATATCGTTAAAATGAATTAAACAGTGATGATATATAATTTTATATATTTATTACTTTAAGATATCGAGGATGGCATCGTGAAAATCGTCGAAGTTTTTGATTTCGGAATCAGTGAACTGTTCGTGAAGGGATTTGAACACATGGCTTAACATCTGTGTAGATGGCAACCCTGTCATGAACCAAAACTTGATCATTGCATGCATGGCAAATTATTATAACTGTATTTGAATTCCAATATCAGTTCAGTTTGATATGAATAGAATTTAAAATTATTTTACATAATTGAGATTCAAGTTTTCTATATATATAGAAGAAGAAGAAGAAAGCATACCTTTTCCCATGAAATTACCCATGGCATTGCCCATGTTGAACAGACCCTTGAAAGGAACTTGAGAAGATATAAGAATTGAAGAATGAAATGGAATATATATGGGAAGTAAAGGAATAGGTTGTTGGTTCATTTGTAAAGTTAAAGAAAGGAATTCATGCTCTCTTCAACCTGCATCTTACATCCTTGTACCTTATTCTTGTCTTGTAAGTTGTTCCTACCCAAAATAAAAGATGTTTTTATTTATTTATCAGCTTAGCTGTTTTTGTATGAATTAATTAATAGATATTGGGTAAACTACATTGATGATTTTTTTGGCATGTCTTATTTTGGTCACTAATTCTAAAACAGTTACGTTTTAGTCACTTGTGTTATTGATTCATTACATTTTTTTTGTCATTGACTCATTCATTTCTGTTAATTTGATGACATGATATATTAATAAAATAATTAAATTTTAACTTAACCCTTGATATTTAGATGGAATATTATTTTTATTTAGATAAAATAACAGTTCAATATATAAATCTAATCAAAGTCCCCGCCCCCAAGTCGCCACTCATCACCATTAATTTATGTCACCAGTCACCGTCGACCCTTTCGAGATGAAGTTATTTTTTTTTTAGGAGTTAAAAAATGTTTGTTTTGCTAGTGGAAGTGCACGATGGTCCTTTGCAAAATTTTATGTCAAACGTTGGACCTTTGCTCTGCAGCACAGTTTTTGGTTCAGCCTCAGGCTTCACTGATATGCTGGTTCAGCACATACCCTCTCCAAGCGATGCTGCAGCTAAAAACGTTGATCACACATACACGAGACCTGAACATTCTACGATTTACAAGGCATCCTTTGGAGCGTCTTTGATGCCTTTGGTAGGGTTTACAGAATAACAGTGGTAGAACCCAAACAGGGCAGACTTTGAGAGTACTGGGAGAATGCTATTCACCAGAAGACGAGGAGGGCATGGCAGTAACATTGACCGGTGATAACAACCGATGGTGATGAGTGACGGCTGACGACGAAAATATTAACCGAATTCCGGGATCAATTTGATATTTTATTTGAATTCAGAGCTAAACAATGTGATGTAATGGATGAAATGGAAACATGCCATCGGCTTTTGTGAATGTTTGGTTCCGAAGAATTACTTCATTGATTTTGGACGAGAAAGGACAAATGTTTGGTTCCTTCTTCAGCCTGGCCTGAAAATTCCCCACATTGATGATGTTGGGTCTCAGATACCGACATTGACGGAGTCGGCGAATGAGCCAAAGTTGAAATCTTCATCAGCTTTAATATGTTGACTCCTTGATTGAACTTGGTTCTCCAATGGCAGATCACATAGTGACAACGCTTCTTCTTCACCATCACTGACTGCAGTGCTTCCCATGGCTTCCGAAGTTGAAACAAACTCACGCTTGTTATATAATTCAAGCAATATTTGGTCCTTTTTGGAAGTGAAAATGGTGCAGAAAGTGGGATTCTATATTAAATTTTAAATTGCAGAGGAAGAACTGCCGTGCAGTGCTGGCCGGCCATTTGTTAAGAGAGTAACTTTTATGGTCTGTTTCGGGACAATATTGAGGTATGCACCATCACTTTCATGTTCATCAATATTATTGTGGAATGTGGAGGAAAGAGTGGGGGCGGTTAGATTTTAGGCACAAGTGGGGCCAAAGCTTAAAGAGATACTAGACTACTTTTCGACAAAATATTAGTAACAAGATGATGTAGGTTTATATAAATGAAAACTTTGGACCATCAAACAATCTCTTTCTGGCACTAAAACAAGCTCTAGGATTATTAAAGGAATATCTTTGTGGCTCTTTTTAACTGTTTATAAAATGGCATATGTATATGTCTAATTTATAATGGAAAAATTGGATGTTTGAATTTGTAATGTCGGTGCCCTTGGTTTTGGTTAAAGTGGTAGCTAGTGTTTGTGGCTCAAAAATGGAGCTTTAAATACTTTTGAACATTATATACATTGAATGGTTTTGTATGCCCAACAGGTGACCCTTGAAATTGATAGCATTGCCTCTTTGGCTCTTCTTTTTTATTTCTTTTATTTTTTGGGGGCCAAAATTCGTATACTTTCTTCTTGAAAGGTGTTATCGCCTTTGCCGATTTAATAGGAAATGATTGACTTGTTTTACATTTGGTAAATAAAGGGGGTTTTGTTTGTCTAATCAAACTGATCAACCATAAATTAAAGACGATAAATAGTAATTATAATAATAAAACAAAACACATGATTTAATGACCTTGTGAAAGGTATATAAACTCCTATGCCTATGTTTTTTTTTTAAAAATGCCCACCTTATTCTTGAAGCATCATCTTCTAATAATATTTTTCCAAAGTGTACAGTGTTAAATAGCCATTAAATTTCTTACTCTTACAAACAGTGTAATTATGATGTTCGAGTTTAGAGAAAATGGCATGAACAAACTGACAGTATGTCTTCTTAAACAAAAGTTGCCAAGTGCGAGTGGTAAAAATTTCATAGACAACCCTTTCAACTTCCCTAAATCTGACGAGGACAACCATTAGAATTTATATGGTTTATGTAAAATTCAAACACGACAAATGTATCCAAATGAGTCTGATTTCGTTTACAAAGGAACCCAGAGTGTACCCCTTACTGCGTGCGCATCCTGCTACTTTCTGCTGCCCTGACTTGAGAGAAGTAAGGATGGGCCTGCCGGAGGAAAATAAATTATATCACATGCCAAGCAATGGGATTTATTACTATGATACGCAAATGCTAGTAGCAGTGTTTAAGCTTATATAGACCTACCGTGGCTTCTTTCGCAGTTAGCCTGTCCTGGTGGTCGTACCGAAGCAACTTATCAAGAAAATCGATTGCCTGAGAGTCAAAGAGGTCAAAGAATGAATTTAAATATTAACATTAGTTCATTATAACTGAAATTGTAGTATTCAACTTCCTAATAGTATGCCCCGAGAAGAAAAATGACCTCTGGGGAAACAAGATGCTGATTATCTGCATTAATAAATTTGGACCAAGGTTTGCGGCTATGCCTGAAAACAACATACCAAATACGTTAATGGAGAACGAATTACATAACACATTGTTAACATGTCTACTCATCAGTTTGAAACTGCTAACCCTAGCTTTTGTTCATAATAAGTACAAAAGCCAATACCATGTTGCATTGACACTTCATTTTTTTATTTAAACCCGAATCCAGCACATATTCGGACATGGTTATAAGAATATGACCTCCAAGGAGACTCCAACTATATATATATACTTAGAAACAATTAAGCATACCCATGCCAGACACACACCCATGTCCAATATTTACACTGGAGACTGAGTAACAATGACCTGCTTATTGGATATGTTAATTCTTAGTATACCTTCCAACAAGAGCATCAAGTTGAGGGTCCAGCTCTAAATGGTATTTGTTCAGATATGCATTTAACTCATCAGTTCCTAGCACCTGAAATTACATTGAAGGCAGTCAAAAGCATTGTAGCATCAGACCATAAATTGGCAATACTTTGTAGGAAAGCCACGAAAGAAAAGTGAATATAGAACTTCTTGTTTGATAGCGCATGTAAAGTAAGCGTACACCCCCTTATCTCTTATCAAGTAATGACTGTGAAGAAGGAATAAATACGTAAATAGAAACCTGCAAGCATAACATTGCATCTACACAAAATAGCAAATAAACAGCACTAACAGGTGCTTGAAAATTTTATGCAGATGTAGACCTGAAAACAGGATGTATAATATGATTTGGACGAGGTACAATACAAATATCTAGACCAATACATTACTGCTACCAGTCAGGAAAAACATGCATTATACCAGCCAGAATGTCAATTAAACAAGACAAATGATGAGAAAAAATAAACACAGCAACAACACTATAACATCTGCCAATATGCTGAAGCTTGTTACCTTGGCAATTTTAACTAGTTGATCATGGTTGTCATGACCATAGAAGAATGGTTCCTTCCTGAATATCTACACAATCAAACATCATAACTACTCTATTAGGCACCCAATATTGAAGTTTCAAATGAAATTTTAATGCATATAAACTAGAATAATAGTATTTCTCACCATTCCTGCAAACATACAACCAAGGCTCCAGAGGTCCAAGGAATAATCATAGTCCTGCAAATCTACCAGAAGTTCAGGCCCCTTAAAGTACCTGAGAAATGGAGGGAAATTAAACTTCTCAGAATTGAATCTATGTAGATGATACAGTAAAATATAGGAAAACAATAGGAAATATATTAAGATTTCACAAAATGCAAATCTGTTGTGTTATTCGTAAAAGATTATAGGCCTTTTATTTTTAAGAAGGCTCTTGTATCCAGAATAGCATAATCTAAGGATCTGAACTCTGACTCCATCTCACCCTTGAAGTAGAAAGTGATAAATCTTGTCTATATAAAAAATAATAACATAACCCCAGAAGTACTCTTCAAGAATTCAGCTAGTTGTTTAAAATAAATAAATAAATGTAGCACTATCTAATTTCTCAAACCTTGTTTTGTTTAATTTGTGCTAAATTTTGCATCTATATGACTGTAACACAACGTATTCAGTGAGGGAAGCCACTTCAAGGCATAGCACAGCAAGAATACATGTAATTAATCCCAAAATAATTTTCTTTACGAGGAAAAAGGCAATTTTGAAAAATACTAAAGTATATGATGGGGAAGTTGGTCATAAATTCACAATGTCTTCAAAGCATTACCGAGAAGCCACACGAACGTTATACTCTTTGCCAGGATGATAAAACTCTGCAAGTCCCCAATCTATCAATCGAAGTTTGCGCAACTCGTGATCTATCATGACATTGTGAGGCTTGACATCTCTGTGCATTATTCCTTGTGAATGACAGTAATCTAACGCCTACGAAGCAAAGAAATATCTCCTTATCATTCTATACTGCAAACATGCATGGCAGGAACCCTTCAAAAACTTCAAAAGAGCAGTCCATTTTTGGAATCCAATCAAGTGTAGAATAAAACTACAAGAAATCTCTAAATAATACCACGATGGAGCAAGGTTCAATACACAAGAAAGCTAGAATGACGAACACGATGTTACCTTGAGAAGTTCATATATATAGTAGCGAATGTCATAGTCTGTCAAAGTTGGGTAGAGAACCTTGAAATCTGTACTGTTGACATACTCAAATATCAAGCTTGGTGTTTTCGAGTGCGGATCTCTTACAATATCAAGAAGTTTAACAATATTTGGGCCACCACATAGATTCTGAAGGATTTTAATCTCTCTCTTAATCTGCCAATAATAACAATAATATTAAACAAAGCTTATTTCTATAATCTATAATCAATGATTCTCCGACAAACTGCCAATGTTTGGCATATATATTGGGGCAAAGGGGATTACGACTCTCCAAGCCAAGTACATATAAAACTTCTATATAATTCATACATGTGCCAAACACATTTATATCTACTCGAACCCAAATCCGAGTAACATAGTCTAAATGTGATTATGCCATAATATTTTCTCATTTATATCTACTCGAAAATCAATCAAATTTCACAGATAACAAAAAGTACCAACCTTCTTTTTCTTGACAGGCTTGAGGATCTTGATTATACAACGCTCATTGTTATTCACATTTATGCCCTCCAAAACCTCACTGTATTTCCCCCTTCCAACTTTTCGAACAACCTCATAATCATCTTGATCACTAAAAAGATCAAAGTAAAACATAAACAGAATCGAACAATTAAAAGATTCGGGTTATATGAAAAAGTTATAATAATTTTCAAAGTAAGCGCGGTTATTTAGATTCAAAGATCTCGTTAAGTTAACCTAACTCCAGAAATCCTGAATTGGCGTTACTTGACGAAACCTAGTGTAACTTTCAATTAAAACAATCAAGGGGACAATCAAATGATCAAGGATCAAGGAACGTTTCCAGGAATTAATTTAAAATTTACCCCCATTGAACAGTGAGGGACTCGTAATCCCAGTACTCCTTGGGACGAAGAACGTTGACATCAGTATAAACGCGAGATTTGGACATGATTCGTCAGCGACTGGGGTAGGAGATCTCTTCGACCTTAGGGTTATCGCCACCGCGGTGGGCGAGGGGAGGGCAGGAAACGACGATGGCGCAAATTAGTAATTAGCAGAACAAAAGTAGGAGGTTGGCGCGTCGCGTTTCATTCATTCATTCAAGCCAATTAAAAGGCTTATTTGTTTTCATTCTTTAATGGGTTATTTGTCTGAGCTTACTCGTGTTTCCGATATGAGTAATATTTGGAAGCAAGATGAAATCAAATTCGGTAATACAATTAAATAGTCATCCGTTATGATATTCTTTTTAAGGGTTAATACATAGAAGTATAAATTATATCTCAAATTTCAAATTGATTTTTTGATATTTAAAGACTTTTCGTTAGAATCAATTGTTTAATATTTTCAATGTTACACTTTTAGATATATGTATCATAATAAATATTAAATTCGATATTTATCTGACATGTATTGCGTATATAAAATTTTTAAAAATTAATATTATAATTAAAAAATCCAAAATTTCATTGTCGACCAATCAACATCAGTCTGTGGTCGTCACCATTAACACCATCAAAACTGTCTCGCCATCACGACCAAAACTCAATCTCACATCCACCATGAAATTGTGCCGATCATCGTGAAAAATATCACGAAGAATCGTTGATTTTCTAAGTTTTCTTTCGACGATTACAACTAGTCGTATGTTACACGGCTATTACCATTGAGTTCCTTGTCATACTCCGATCAAAACTCAGTCGATGATGACCCTTAGTCTTCGTTGAAGGTAGGGGTAGAGGGAGAGGGACAAAATGAAGATTTTTTTTTGTTGAATTTGTTTTTAAAATAATGTTTTATTATTAAAAGTTAAAAAAATAAAATATAACAGTATATACTTAAAAGTATAACGGAAAAAAATTTATGCACCTATTTTTAATGAAAAATTCTTTAGATATTAAAAGTCAATTTAAAATATAATCTAGGCACCTAAAAGTTTATTAAGACTTTTTTTATATAAAAATATAACATATTCATTTAATTTAATTTTTTATTAATATGAAGTGATGCTAATGTAATATTTATTCCTTATATAAAAAAATTGTAGTATTTATTCCCAAAAAAAATGGTTAATTGATAATAAACACATACATTCCGTAGGTATTAGCTGCTCAAATCTGAGCTCTCTAGTGAGAATGACACCTTTTTTTTACAATCAAAGTCTTTTAATGAATTTTAATTATGTAATTTAAAAAAAACAAATTAATATTTTTTTATTATAATTTTGATGGAATGATGTAACGATTATTAGTATTAACTTAATGATATATTTAATTCTTATTTTTTATAATTTATTTTAATTTTAAAAATTTACTTATCATCCTTAAATAATTATTTTTAAAAAGATATTTGTTTTATTCCTCCTCATGTCTCCTAAATCCACACCAGAAACAATTTTATTTTATTTTGGTTACAACACCAACAACAATTTCGAACACATAACTAACTAAGACCATCTCTAGCCCTCATCTTTACTCTACAGCATCTCTATATCTACTCTAAAGATGAAACAATAATTCATCTCCAGCACTATCTATACATTACCACCAACTCTGTAACACCCCCAACCCGTACCCGAACCGGATACGAGTCCGAGATGTCACATTGACTTTTTAAAACAATATTCTTACAAAATAACAAAATATTTGGACTTATATTAAGGAAATACAATAATATACTGTTGAATTATGTTTCATTATAACAAATTTGAAGAAAAACGTTTTTATGAATAGTACTATACTATATGAATAGTACCATGAACGATACACGTGAACAGTGCCCATGAACAGTGTTCCGATGATATAAATTTCAGAATGCTACAGGGGTATCGATGCCCTGCTACAGTGTATTGATACCCTGCTACAGTACTTTTGTTCAATTTATATAAAACTTATAAAAATTTAAACTTTCATCTCTATAAAGTTACCATTTACATATAAACGTTTAAAACATTAGAAAAGTCGATCAAAGCGTTCGTACTAACATATTTCTTACATGTCAACACATTTTATACAACAAAATACATACTGTATCAGTTACTTCTGATCTGATCTTCTAGTAGTGATGATGTCTTTGTCATTCCTATTTCCGCTCTTCTCGACTCTTGGTACCTACGTGTATATCACTTACACGCTAAGTCATAGACTTAGTGAGACATAATAATGAACACATAACTTAGTGAGACATAATAATGAACACATAACAATAATATCATGAATATGTACCACGATCAATCCATTATGACATTGCAATGCACATGTAGATACCACACTATGACATATATAAATATGATATGCATGAATGAATGTTTATGTCTCATAAGAGTTTTCTTTTAATTTGTATTTGGATGCCCATGTACATTATTGAGAACAGAAGGTACATGTAATACCCTTAACCCATATCCGACCCGAATATGAGTCCGAGGTATCACATTGACTTTTCAAACTTTGACTCTTGAAGAAAAACAGGGAAATTTTAATCTTTCATTAAACCCAAATACATTAATTTACATAAAATAGACCACAAAATACAAAATCGATCAGAGCATTCGTAATTAACCACTTATTACATGCCAACACTCTATACACAACCAAAATACCTACTTTGTTAATTACTTCTGATATGATCTTTTAGTAGTGATATTGTCATTGCCGCCCTATTACTGCTTCTCTTGATTCTTGGTACCTACGTGTAAATCACTTACACGCTAAGTCATAGACTTAGTGAGGCATAATATAAAAATATATATATAACAATGCATTCATGAACATGCATTCTTACCATCTGATCATGACATCTTTATTTATGCACATATAAAACATATATTCTTATGCTAATTCCACTTTAACTTATCTTTGAATTGCCCATGTACATTATAGAGAACAAAGGTATGAGAGTACATAGAGGTTGTGCACTATGCTGTCACCACAGCTCGTATAATTCCCTCAAGGGGCACTGAATATTTGTCCCGAATGACCACTATGTCCCGAAGGACCACTGATTGTTCCGAAGAACCACTATGTCCCGAAGGACCACTGGTAATCCCTCGACTCTTGGCATGCCAATTATACCTATAGCTCTCATATTAAATAACATGGGCTTAATTATAAATACATTTCTCATTTCATATCTCTTTCATCACTGTCCATGTAAACACATAAGTCACTTTATATGATCATTTTCATTATTTCACATATCTGGAAGAATTCTCTAATAATGGCATTCATTCATATAATACCATGTTAATCATGAATGAAAAATGCATGAAATCAATATAATGTTAATACATATATATGTATACATATGCATGAATATAAAATCATAAATTCAATGATAAGAGATAGACTTATCGCAAGTCTTGTCTCAATTCCATTTCATCTAGGATATGCACTCACCTTAGCCTTGCTTATTTTGACTTGATCATAATCCTTTGTTTGTTCCGGAATGAAATTACGTTCTATATCTACATAGTAATACATTGATACTAATCAGTATACTAATTAATATATTCTAAACTATCACTCCTTGGGCTAAAAAGAAAGCTATTTTCATCTTTTAATGAAGGTATGCATCGATGCACTACACCATGTATTGATGCATCCCTTGACGGGTGCATTGATGCACAATCTATGCATCGGTACATAAATCACATTCGATGTTTGTATTTTAAGGGGTGCATCGACGCATTACTTGTGCATCGATACACTAATTACATTTGATGTTTTTATTTTAAAGAAGTGCATCGATACACTTCATGTGCATCGATGCACATTAAACAATTTATGGGTTTTTACCCTTAATGCATCGATACACATTGAATGTGCATCGATGCACATAGCCCAGAAATGTTATTTTAGCACGAAAATCTCTTCATAATCTTCTCAACACTTTATATTTCCCCTCGTTTTATATCCTTAACTTGCATATACCTACTTAAACTAAATAATACCATTCAATACCTCTTAAACTTAAAATCCAATCATCCACATAAATTTTAAGAATCTCCCTCAATTTCCAACATGTTCTAAATCTAATTTTAACACTTCGTATGTCTTAATTAAGTCGATGACAAGTCAAATTCAACCTCCGATTTCAAATAAGAACTCTATTTCAAAATTCCATTCAAGAACTCCTTATCTTTAATTCTTCCTACACCCTTCATCTTGTTGTTTTAAAGCAAATTAAGCTTTCCTTAAGCTTAATTAGCATCTAAGGATCAAAACAAAACTTAAATTTCAGCAAACAATTAACTCATGAAAAATCTCACCTTTGTTTTGACCTCTTCACATTTAGGAGAAAAGAAGAGAAGAAGAGAACTCTGGAACCTTGTTTTTCTTTCTTCTCTTCCACGTGGAGCTAATATATAAATCCCTTCTTTAATTATTTTTCCTTACAAAAGGCCATTCTATCATTCTATTATTTCTTCTTTGCAATTTAACCCTATACCAAATTACAATACTATTCAATTATTCTATTTTAGTCATCAAATTCTGAATTTTTACAATTTAGTCACTAACCCTGTATTAAAGATGTTACAAATCTCCCCCTAAAGAAAATTCATCCTCTAATTTTCATTGCACGAAAAGATGGGGGTACTGATTCCTCATATCCTCTTCACGCTCCCATGTTGCTTTCTCTACTTTGTGATTTCTCCGTAATACTTTGACTAATGGAATAGTCTTGTTCCTTAATTGCTTAATCTCATGAGCTAAAATTTGAACCGGTTCTTCCTCATATGTTAAATCCGGTTGAATCTCGATCTCTTCTGGAGTCACAATGTGGGAGAGATCAGATCTATACTTCCGAAGCATTGAGACATAGAAGACATCATGAATCTTTTCCATTTCAGGTGGTAATGCCAATTGATATGCCACTGGTCCAACTCTCTTTACAATCTCATAAGGTCCAATGAATCAAGGACTTAACTTTCCTCTTCGACCAAATCTCAAAACCTTCTTCCAAGGAGACACTTTGAGAAACACTTTATCTCATATTTGATATTTGATCTCCTTTCTCTTTAGATCCGCATATGATTTATGTCTATCAGTTACTGCTTTGAGATTACTTTGAATTACTTGAACCTTTTCTTCCACTTCCTGGATCAACTCCG